ATGTCTGTCCACTCAGCTGCGAGAGCCATTCCCAGGCCACTGCCCATGGTGACCTCAGTGCCATAGGCCCCACGTGGCCACACCACCACTCTTGCTGTGATTTCCTCCTTTCTCCTACTTCTGTGCCCCCCACGCCCTTCGGTCAGGCCACCAGCTGAACCAGAAAACTAGAGTCACCCTCGGAGTCCTCATCTCCTTCATTGTCTGCCCTCTCCCCCCCCCGCCCACTTGCTCTCCCTAAATCCTTCTCAAATCCACACTGGCCTCTTGCTCCTTTGTCATGTCTTTCCTGACCACTGCAGTGGGTCAGGGAGTGATTTGTTCTTTCAGCAAGTGTCATTCTGGCCCCTCATATGTGCTCAGCACTGCTCTGGTGCCATTTTATCTTGAGCTCTGGGCTGCTGCTGGAGGACTCATGCTCACCTGCAGCCCAGAGAGCATCGACTCCTCACCCTGAACACCCTCAGTTCCTCCCTTGGCTCCCAGCCTGGGACCTCTGCTCCTTGGATGGACCCACCAGGTATGGATCATGTGGTCCTGACCTGCATTTTCAGTGTTCTCCCCTGCCCCTCGGCCCTCATGTTTGATTCTCCAGCCACAGCGACTGGGTCACTGCTCCTGAACACACTGTGCTCTGGTGACTCTGTCCTGTCCATACACCGCAGCCCCTGCCTAGAGCATTTTACCCTAACTTGTCTGGCTGCCAGCCCCTTTTGTCAAATGCTGACTCCTCTGTGAAGTCTTCCCTGATTTACCCAGGCTGACTTGAGGGCTCATTCTCCCATGTGATCCCCAGGCCCCACCAACAACCTGTGTGTTTTCTCATCTCCATGCCTGTGTGCTCCCTGGATGGGTGGCTCATTGAAGATGGGGACCACATCTGCTTCTTGTCCTATCTCTAGGGGCCAGCATGGGAAGGAAGGCATAGCGTTGAATAGGACACGGCCATCCTAACAGGTGTCTTTGATCCCCAGGAGGATCAAAGTTCCCCAACTTAGAGGCTGAAGACTTTATCTAGTAGAAAATAGAAGTAGGCTAGGGTTTGGCATAGTCTTCCAGGAAGGTTAGATGGATATCTGTTGTCTTTACCTCATGGGGAGAGCGGTGAGTCTCATGATTGTCCTCACCTGGCAGTGACGAAAAGAAGCTAGCACATGCAGCTGATAAAATGGCTGGGTACACAGAGGAAGCTGGGGTTGTTCTGATAGGTCACTGGCCCCCTCATTTCTCAGCCTTGGTGGGAGCAGGGGTTCATCTTTTCCTTAATAATTGTGAATAAGGCTGGGAGGGGAATCATCCCAGAGGGGGCCATGGCTCTTTGATGTCAGCGCTTGGCTTGGCCGCTCATGAAGTCCTGCTTGGGTTTAGGGACCATGGAGGGTGGGCTGCTGTCTCATCACTCCACTGCTCTCCTGCCTGCTGGGAGTTTGTTAGAAATGAGCTGCACATGATAGCCGTGGTCCATGAGGACAAGCAGTTGCCACCTTCTGCTGGGCTAGAAAGTGGGCAGAGGAAAGGCCCCACCCAGGGCTGCTGTTATGAGTTGAGTTGTGTAACTCAAAAAGATGCTATGAAGTCCTGAGCCACAATACCTCAGAACGTGACCTGATTTGGAACTAGGGTCATTGCAGATGTAACAAGTTAAGATGAGGTGGTACCGGAGTGGTGTGGGCCCCAATTCAGTCTGATCAGTATCCTTATGAGAAGAGGAGAGAGACATACAGGGAAGGACAGCATGAGGAGATGGAGGCAGAGACTGGAGTGCTACAGCTACAAGGCGAGGAACACCAAGGACTGCCGCCACCTCCAGAAGCTGGAAGAGGCAAGACCCTCCCCTCGAGCCTTCAGAGAGAATGGCCCTGCCGACACCCTGATCTCAGACTTCTGGCTTCCAGAACTAGGAGACGGGAATGGATACAACTGTGTGGTGTCTTTGGCGTGACCCTCAGCAGAGTTTGGAGGGACTGAGGGGTCGGTTTCTCCTTTCCTGGGACCCATAAGAGTATGTGGAGGAGACAGGAACAGTAAGTGGCACATCCACCTGCTGTTATCTGTGCCCGATGTGAAAGCCGATCCCCTTACAAAAGAATCTTTCTTTTGGACCTGCACATTTCGCCGACTTTGGGGCAAGGGGATGCAGGTAGTAGGGAAATGAATGCTATGTTTTGAATGAGAAAATCAAGGGCATCAGCAGAGGTGTGGTGTTTGGGAGGGATGTTCAGGTGAACACTGTGTGTATGCCACAGCAATTTCAATCACAGCCACTCATTTTTTTTTTTTAATTTGCAGCGTAAAATCCGCCAGAGCTACTTTGCTTCTGTTTCATACTTGGATACACAGGTTGGCCACCTTTTGAGCTCTTTGGATGATCTTCACCTGGCCAACAACACTATTGTTGCATTTACCTCAGATCATGGTAAGCATTTGGAAATGCCCTGGTGAGTCACTCAAAGTCTCTGAACTTTTCTGTGAAATGTGCTTTTCTAGATTGCCTTAAACATAGGCGTGTTTTCTTTTGGGAATCAGTGGTACCCTGAGTCTGGAGTCTCCGGGTGCTTTTATGACCACCTTATTAGTCCTGGGACCTCTCTCAGTGTCTCTGTGGGTCAAAGGAGCATGCTGGATGTTTGGGTGGTAGAGGTGGTGGGTGGAAGGAGCAGAGAAGCAACCCTTTTTTTCCTTTGTGAACTCCCACCCAGAAGCTCTCCTCAATCTGAGGCAGTTGCATACTAATGGCCCTTCTCAAAGAGCCTTCCCAGCACTTCCTACATCTGAACCCCAAGAGCCTTCTCAGATCCATACATGACAGCTTTTTGTGATTTTGGTTATTTCGTTACACGAAATCATCAATGTACAATCTCTATCTTTTTTTTTTAATATCGAAAGTGCTCAAACTTAAAAAATTTGGAAATTTCCAACTTGGAGTATTCAAATTATCTTTTGCAAGGGATATGTTAAATCAGGGTTAAGGGTTGTTTTTCATCAAGGATTTGGAATCAACACACACAAGAATTTGGAATCAACACACACACACACACACACACACACACACACACACACACACACACACACACACACACACACACACACACACACACACACACACACACACACACACACACACACACACACACACACACACACACTTGTCAATGGTATGTCTTCAAAATTGAGCAAGCTATCCTTATCGTTTGTTTTGTGCCACAGTTTCACAGTTCATTTTTTTGGTGGTACACACCCAAAAGTGAAAACTTGAGCTTTGAGAATTTAGTCAAGATAGGTGAGCACAGGACAAGGCAATGGTGACACAATATCTGTCGGGGTCCCCGCCTAGTCAAGAATGAGCCCATCTCAGCAGGGAAGGTGGGTCTGTGGGGAACACACTTGTCCCTTGGAGCTGAACTGAGTTACATATTGCTAGTTGCTTTCTAAAAGAAGATACTTTAGTTTGGGAATTTAATAGATATATGTATTTTTCCTTTTGAAGGTTTCCTCATTCAAGATAAATGTCTAACTTCAAATAAAGCAATATTCAGGTGAAATCACCTTTTTTTGTGGTAATTCTAGAGGAATTTCTTGTAGGTGATGAGTTTTTGCTTCCTCTGGTTTTTTCCAACAGGAAATGAAACAGTGTCTAAAATGAACTGTAGCTGTGATGTGATTATTCGTTTTCTGTCATTTTATGCTTTTTATGAACCAGGGTGGGCTCTAGGAGAACATGGAGAATGGGCTAAATACAGCAATTTTGACATCACTACTCGTGTGCCCCTGATGTTCTATGTCCCTGGAAGGACGGCTCCACTTCCGGAGGCGGGCAAGAAGCTTTTTCCATACATCGACCCTTTCGATTCCTCGGAATTGATGGAGCCAGGTATACCAAATGCTGACCTGCCTGACAGTAATAGCTCCTTTAGTTTATATAAATCCCTTTACCAAATCATGGCCTGGGGACTTACCCTGTCCACTTTTCAGCCCACCGTTGGCATTTACTGCACACATTTCCTGGGCACTTCCCACACTCTGGGTCACAGAGGAGTGGCAGGCCCAAAGTAGACAAGTATGGCCTCTGTCCACGAGGAGCCATGGAAGGCAGGGGTGGGAGCCAAGACAAAGGAGCAGGAGGCATCCGCAGGATGGGGAGGGCTATCCTAGAGGTGACAAACAGCTGCAAGAAGGGGACAGCAGACTCAGACTCTGCCCTGACCCCCCACCCCAGTCCACAGATGAGCAGAACTGCATTACCTACTTCTGGCAGGGACTCGGCCCTTTGCGAGGGAGACATCTGCCGTTTTGGCAGTTCATCAGTCTAGTGAACCACTAGATCTGCAAAATTAGGTGATTCTCCTTCTGCCCTCCCAGACAGTGAAGGGCAAGTTTACTTTGAGTTCCGCGTGCCAGTCCTTTCGAGCTTTGAAAACAGCATAACCTTCTCTTCTCTAGGTTGAAATCCCCAGTACTTAAGCCGTTCCTCTCAAGATAGTGTTAGACCCCCGTGGTTATCCTGGTCTCTGTCTTCTAAAATGCTCAAGTTTGAGAAAGCACTTCCAGAAATGTCCCTTACACAAGATCCCCTCCCTGCCACACTGGGTGGGTTGGGTAGATTTTAGTGAGTTGTCTCCCGACTTGATAGGCACCAATGCAGACACGAGGCATGTACTTCAGATGACATTTGCTGTTTCTGGAGTGCTTTGCCCCCTTTCTGGACTTCTGCATTTAACCCATCTTTAACATCTACATGCTGCACTTATATTGATTCCCGTTTAAATTTTTCTGGTTTTGGACCATCATTCTGGCCTTTCTGGATCTTTCCAAGTTTGCCTTCTAGAAACTTCTGTTGGCAGGTGTTCAGCAACTTATAAATTCATATAACTGCACTGTCTTCCAGTTTATTTCCATATTTTATGTCTAGCATAAATCTCTTGCCTGAGCTTCGGACTTGGATTTCCAACAGCCTGTCACACCTGGCTCGTCTCACCTCCCCAAAGCTGAACTTCTGACCTTTCACTTCAGACCTTTCCTTTGACACTCTTACCCTTCTCAGAAAATGACAGTAGTCTCTCAGGCCAAAAACTTGTGGAGTCGTCTCAAGCCTGTCTTTCTCTCATATTCCATGTGATATGCAGTGCATCCGAAAGCCTGCCACTTTCCATTCAGAATCTGTCCATCGCATTTCTCACCATTTCACTGCCACCATTTTTGCTGGATTAACTGCAGCAGCTTGCTAAAGTCTCTTGGCTGTGCCCTTGATCGCCCAAAGATTTTCATCCTCGCAGTATCCCAAGCGATCCTGTGAAAACCCAAGTCAAATTCTGTCATAGCCATACTCTGGAGCCTCCTGTGCTCTCCCATCTCACTCTGAGCAAAAGTCCTTACAATGGCTGACAAGGCTTGACGTGATCTGGGGCCCTCCTTAGCTCCTTGACCTCATCTTTTTAGAAGGTCCCCGGCCAGTCGTCTTGTTCAGTGGCCTGAATTTGTGCAGTAGTCTGCATTTGTCTGATTGCTATATCATGACGAGATTCAGGGTAAACATTTTGACATAGGCAGTGCACATGAGGTTGTGTGCTACTGTTGTATCACATCAGGGGCACTTCCTGGTAGCCTATGCCGTTATTAGCAATGCCAAGTTGACTCAACTGGTTAAGGTGGTCATGTCAGCCAGGTCTTGCCATTGTAAAGGTAAAGTTTTAAAACATTATTTTTACTTTGCTTACAAATCAAATGTGTAGGAAGTAAAATTAGGCAGTGTAGAGAAAACCTTAAAGATCCAGAAAGGCTAGAATGCTAGTCCAAAGCCAAGATACATTTGAATAGAAATCAATGGAAAGTGCAGGAAATAGACTTTTAAGATGTATCAACCACAACGAGATATCATTTCACATTTATTAAGATAGCTGTTATCAAAATAAACAGAAAAAACAGTGCTGATGAGAATGTGGAGAAATTGGAACCTTCAGACATTGCTGGTTGGGAATGTGAAATGCTGCAGCCATTGTGGACAATGCTTTGGTGGTTCCGCAAAAAGATAAAAGTAGAATTGCCATATACGTGACTCAGCACTTCCACTCCTAGTTGCATATCCCACAGAACTGAATACAGGTATTTAAACAAAAACTTGTACGCAAAGTTCAGTTTATTATTCACAATTGTCAAAGGATAGAAGCAACCTAACTGTTCATCAACAGATGAATGGTTGAACAAAATGTGGTGGAGAGACAGCAGAATATTATTCAGCCTTTAAAGGGAAGGACAGTCTGACCCATGCTGCAACATGAAGGCACCTTGAAGACGTTATGCAAAGTAAATGAGCCACTAACAAAAAGACAAATAGTGTATAATGCACACATCTGTGGCACCTAGAATAGGCACATTCATAGGGACAGAGGGTAGAATGGCTGTTGCCAGGGGCTGGGAGGAGGAGGAAGTGGGGAGCCACTGTTTATTGGGCACAGGGTTTCAGTATGCAGGATGAGAGGGAGCTGGAGATGGGTGGTGGCGACGGCTGCACAATGTGAATGTGATCGATGCCCCTGAACTGGATGGACACTTGAAACTGGAGAGGGCAGCAAAGATTCCGTTGTTTGTATTTTACCACAGTGAAAAGAGAGACATGAAATGCAGACACCCGGAGAGGAGCGATCTGCAGCGTGGTCCTCTGAGACGCGGGATGCCCTGTCCTCCACAGACCTTTACCCAGTGGCTTGGGCCTCCACTGACAGTCCTCGCTCGGTTAATGACACACCGATGGACCCAAATGAAGTAGTCTTTAAAAGTGCAGAGAGGCTGAGGACACCTTCAGTTTGCATCCTGTCCTTGTGTGAGGGTCTGAGATGGCATTGCTCCTAAGATTCTTATGCTAAAAGTACACATTGTAAAAGAAATCGCCAGACAGCCCGTGGAGCCCAGACGGGCTTCTTTACGGAGCCAGGCAGGGTGCGGTCTGCTTCTGTGCTGTAACCGTCGCTGGGTCTCTTCCTCCTGCAGGCCGGCGAGCCGAGGACCTCGTGGAACTTGTGTCTCTCTTCCCCACGCTCGCGGGACTTGCGGGACTGCGTGTGCCACCTCGCTGTCCGGTTCCCTCGTTTCACGTGGAGCTGTGCCGAGAAGGCCAGAGCCTTGGGAAGCATTTCCGACCCCATGACCTGGAAGAGGATCCGGCCCTCCACGGGGATCCCCGTGAGTCCATTGCTTATAGCCAGTACCCCCGGCCCGCAGACTCTCCTCAGTGGAATTCTGACAAGCCGAGTTTAAAAGATATCAAGGTCATGGGCTACTCCATACGCACCATAGACTACAGGTTCACTGTGTGGGTGGGCTTCAGTCCCCATGAATTTCTGGCCAACTTTTCTGACGTCCATGCAGGGGAACTGTATTTTGTAGATTCTGACCCTTTGCAGGATCACAACATGTATAATGACACCCAAGGTGAAGACCTACCCCGATTACTGGCACCTTGAGTTGTGCCGACCACAGAGGGCGTGTATATAATGTGCCCCCTTCCCGCTGGAGAGAGAAGGACTTAGAGCTGGTTCCTTTCTGATTACCCACAACACCGGAAGCAGGCGAGGGCTGGGCAGTCACAACACGCAGCGGCAGTTGGGCCTTACAGTCTGTAACAGCCCAACTTCGGATTGGGTCTTTATTGATTTCTATTTAGTAATTGAACTGGGGCTAGGCTGAACCTTTTCTTTCGTTTTCCCAAAAAGCTCATTTATTGAGTGAATGAGTACAGAGTGAGCTAACTAAAATTGTCAGACCTTTAGACATACCTTGATGTCATACCTTTAGACATCAAGACCGTAATAACCAAACATACCACTGTACTCAGGAAACACCTTAATTATTTGTGGAGCTTAGTGCATTTCAAAAAGTAAGCATATATCAAATTAGGTTTCACACTGTGTTCCTGGTTCTTTTGTTTACAATTTAATAACATTCATATGTATCCCAGTATATTAAGGATATTACTTCAACCTGTAATCCAGGTTTCTTTATAAAACGTAAAGTGAAATAATAGTGCTAGACGCCATGGCCGTAAAGTCTTGATCCTTAACTTTTGTTTCTAAAATTGTAAACTTTCAAAATCTAAACTTAAAATATACAAGAAGCGAGTAAGGTGGAATTTCTACATCAAATAATAAATCATGCTTAGTAAACTAGAGGCATGATATGTATGGGGAATTCAGTTAAACATTCTAGAGATTTTCTGGCCCAAATAATAAGGTATTAGCCAATAATATAGCCCTTGAACCCAAAGGCCGTCTGTTAAGAGGCAGTGTCAGTTACAATGGGAAACATTTAACGGCGTGACTGTATCCACGAACTGAGTCACTCAGACCCTGTTAGCATTCTCCTTCCTCGGCGATGGTTGGCTGCAGGCCTCCATTATCCAGGAGGCAGCAAATATTCTGCTCTTAATTGCTGCTTAAAGGCAACATTAATTTTATTAAATCTTACGTTATTTTGAGAATTTCGAAGGCTTTTCATTAGTATAATATTAGGTCATTTCCGATCTCCCAGAACATCGTTCTGTATTCCCTAAATACATGTGAAAGTAACCAGCAAGGCAAATGGCTGTGGTGAGCTTTGCTATGTCATCTTCAGAAGGATGGAAAGTTCACAGCATTTTCACAGTACGTCGAAGCCGGTCAATTATCAGGAGTCACCAGAAGAGTCCAGAGCTTTCTGTATAAACATTGACTACAGTCCTGTTTCAAAGTGAGTAATTTTAGGAATTCTGTCTTTACAAGTGCTTCAGTGTTTCAAGGTAAATATCGGTGAAGGGAGAATAATGGCAAATCAGCTCGAGTTGCTGCAGGCCATTAAATTGTGACCAAAAAAGACCAGAGGTGGTATTACGTGACTACTTCAAGTCAGTCAAAATTAAGAATTCCCTAATCAGCCTGCAACCGAGGTATACATGATAACACGACGATCTTGTAGGTAACTGACCTAGCGTCTGGCCATAAGAATTTCTACCTGAGCAGTGAAGGCCCTGTTCATGTCTGCCGACGCTGACGATGGGCTCCCTCGCGGAAGCCTCACTTTTACGTGCAGACGGCTTCCCTCAGCCTTTTCTTTCCCCATCTTCATCCTCTTGTGGCTCTTGTCACTTCTGCTAAGATTTTGACAGTCCAGTCGGTAAATTCCTCATGAGGCGCTTCCTGCGCCTTTAGCTGTATCTCCTACTCCACAGTTATAGTAAGGTTTAACACAGGGTTTTATTTCACGTTCGTTTGCCGCTCCTGTTGGCTACAGAACGTACTCCTTATCGCTTTCTTTCTTGCTTTGTTTCTTGAACAGTGTTAGCATCAAAAATCTCAGTTCTGCTCTTGCCGAAGTGATGAGCTGAACCATGTGGGAAGAGAATGAAGTGACTTGCACGTAGGATGTGCAGCTGCCATTTTGGCAGTAATCCACCCGTGGGACCAAAGCGACATCTGGCTCTGGTCTCCATGGGGCGCTTTGGCTAGAAGTGCTTCTGTCTTCTCTCCCCTTCGTGAGGGCATAGCCTCAGGATGCTTCAGCTCGCCTTAGGTCGTAGCTTTTCTTGGCCTCTCTTTACAAATCTCTCTTGTCGGAAACCAAGAAGGGTGCATTTCACATTCAGGGGCACGCTGCTCCAACTCCTCTCACGGATTATGGTTGTTTTTCGTGTTTCCGACACTGAACCCAATTTAGAGCCGGATCGTGCTTCCTTTTGCCTGTCTCTGACACGCATTGGGATGAGCAGCCACTTTCTGGTTTCAGATATCAATGCTGACGACATTTCTCATCTTGACTTGACTTAGAGAAGCCACATCTTTGCTGCTTCACATAACTTTTCTCCTATGCCACTGAGCTGGGCATCTTTTATAAATGGTTCCCCAGCCAGTTTATTTGCAGAAAGCCCCATTTCACTTCAGCAAGAGTTGTTTTATACAATCTAGTTGAAAGCAGAACGAGCGATCCCCGAAATTGTGAATGGCCTTAAATCAGTGGCTCACAACTGTGAGCGTGGATCGGAACTACACCAAGGGCTTGGCAAATCAGGGTGTTGGGCCCTTCCCACAGAGGTTCTGATTTAGTACGTCCGGGCTGCGGCTGGATCATTTCATTTCTTATGAATCACACTGCTCTCCTGAAGACCACAGTTTGAGAAACACTGCCTTACATGCGTGCCGTCCAGCAGCCACTAGGCACATGCGATTTTAAAGTAGTTAGAAAGAGAAACATTTCCAAAGCATACTCTCAGTTGGACTTGCCACACTTCACGTGCTCAATAGCCACATACGTGTGGTTTGTGTCACCATATTGGACAGCACAGCTCTAGGAGCTTTCTGTCGTGGCAGAAAGTTGATTTCACGGAGCCGCCCTAGGAGAACTCTGAATTTCAGCTGGATCCACCTGGCTTTTGGCAAGGCCCTCCTGTAAGCCTCTTTTCGACCCTGTGTTTGCCTGCAAAGACGTGTCCAGAGGTGAGTGACGTATGTTCGGTCTCAGCCTACCATAGGAGTTCACTCTGGCAATCAGCCTCTTCCTCTCCATGCCACAGCCATCGCCCCAGCCTATCCCAAGTAGTTTACCCGCCCCTCCTCTCTCCTCCCTGGTCCCTAAAGAATCCATGTGTCTTCCTGAAGTCCCTCTTTGATCCTGCCCTTTGAGAACACCGTTAGTGCCTACTACCAGGTCTGCACAGACCTCCACTGAGAAATCAGCGTCTTCCCTGACTCCACGAAGCCCCTTTCCTCGGCCGACCAGTTTGCACACTGGTCCCACACTCTCCTGTGCCGATCCCTACCTCCCTGTCCACCCCTAGGTTGTCCCCTCCTCCCTTCTCCATCCTTCCATGACCATTCTTCACATCCTGCTCCCATGCCCCCACCTCTGAGAGGCTGAGGGTTTGTGACTCTAGACTGTGTCTTGGGATGAAATGACATCACCGAAGAATCTTGTCATCCCCTTACTCTAAAAACAGCATGTATTTCCCGATCATAACATTGTGTTAATTGTATAAAAATTGGAAAACAGAAATTTAGTAACAGGTCAGAAAACACATCAGTACTTTACCCCAATAGTCACTTAATGTCATCTTTGGGGTGTGTGTGAATATTTTACATTGTCGTCATCACACTGTGTGCTTTATCATGCAATTTTATATTCTCGTTTTTTCACTAAGTAATATATGTGGTCATTACAGATTTTTGCAAAGATACTTTATACTAGCGGTAATATATTTTATCGTGCAGTGTTTATCATACTTTACCTAACCTTCTTTGGATTATTGGAAATTTATGTGATTTCCAAATTTTCGGTATTGTAAATAATGTTCTGATGAACAACTTTGTGAATAAAATGTTTTTATGTATTTCGAATTGCTCCCGTAGGATAGTCTCTCGGTGCCAAGCAGTCAAAAGCTTCTCTATTTCTCTCCTTTCTCTACTCTCCTGCTACCTTAGGGAAGTAAAACTGAAAGTAAAGCAAACAAGTGTACAGATAAAAACCATAAAAAGCAATCAGCCAACAACAGCATCATCAAGAACAACAAGAACAAATCCACCCCTAACGATAATAGATGAAAGAGGTATCCTGCTTAACCTTCCGATTCTTTGCTTCTTGGTGACCCTGATCGTGTTCTGTCAGTATGATTGCTGGGTCTCTGTATTTCCAGTGTGTACATTCACCTTTAGCTTTTGGTAGTGGGTTTCACTTTTTAAGCAAGCAAACAAATTGCTTTTTTCCTATGTCCCCCACCCCTCCCGGTCTTTTCCTGTTAAACACGGAGACCCCTCCTAACCTGGAGACCGAATAAACATTCATTTTCCTTTGTTGCTTTGTGGTTTGGTTTATCTCTTCTCTCCACATCGTTATCAGAGTACCATGTGCTCGTTGTGGACAATGTAGAAAATGGTGATGATGAGAAAAGCCCACCCTCCCGAGTATAGCCCCTGTGGACTGACATTTGTGCATTTCTTTCTGCTCTTTTTCCTGCCCACGTACATATGTACAGATACGGACATTTACAGTGTTTGCATGCAGTTTTTAAAATTGTGGTAAAATGCCTAGAACGTGAAATGTACCATCTTAAACGTTTATAAGTGTTCAGTTCAGTGGCATTAAGTACCTTTGCATTGTCACGCTACTGTCACCTCCGTCTCTCCACAGAAGTATTTTCCTGTTGCAAAACTGAATCTGTTCCTATTCAACACCAACTCCGCATTCTTCCCCTCTCCCCAATGCCTGGTCACCGCCATCCTGTTCTGTCCCTATGAATTTGATTACCCTAGAGAACTCGTAAGTGGAATCATGCAGCATTCGTCCTTTTGCATCTGGCTTATTTCACTTAGAACAATATTCTTAAGGTGCCTCCATGTGCTGGCATATTGCAGCATTTCCTTCACTTTAAAGTCTGAGCAACATTTCATAGTGGATAGTCCCCATTTTGTTTATCTGGTCACCCTTCGATGGACACTTTGGTGGTTTCTACCTCTTGGTTATTGCAAATAATGCTGCCATGATCATGGCGGTGCAACCATGTCTGCGTCTCTGCTTTCCATTCCTTTGGGTATAGACCCAGTGTATGTTCACATTTAGTCACTTAAAAGCTTTAGGGCATGTGCTGAGAGATGAGCGAGGGTCCTGGAGGAGCCTCACCCTGGCTACAGTGGGCAAGATTTCTCCGGAGGATGACAAGGGGCTGGCCCTCCTCCTCTCGGTCCTTGGCTTTTCTTTCCCCTCCTTTCCTCTGGATGGCTTTGAGTGAAGACATTGTAAATTTCCAGCTGGATCAGCATAGGCTGGAAGAATTGGGTAAGCTAAGCAGGTGAAATGTGTGCAGTGTAATTATTTGCTGGCTTGTTTATTGTGACACGGTAATATATGCACATGGCACAAAGTTTAAAAGGCACACACATATATACAGTGAAGAGTCATTTTTTCCTCCATCCCATCCCCAACCAGTCTTCTGTCTGCAGAGGCAAGCACAGTTACCAGTTTCTTATGAATTGGTAAAGATTGGTATGGATAAATATAGGCCTAACAGGTGGGCCCTAGAGCCTAGGCGCTAGGGAGGGATGACCCAAGGGTGCAGAGTCATACATACAAACATTTAGTATTGTGGTCAGCAGCTTAGCACGAAGACTTAATGTTTCAGGAAGGGTAAAGAATGCTAGGCTATATAAATGGGTATTTTGGAGAAGGGAGGTGGTCAACTGTTCTTCCTACACAGTCAGCCAGCACTTAGAGAATTGTGTTTAGCCAAAGACCCAGAGCTTTCACAGAAATGTGGTCAAACAGGAGACTCAGTGTGGCACATCAGGAACAGTTGAAGGAGGAATGCTCAACTTGGGAGTGAAAAGATTTGGGAGCAGGTGAGGTGGTTGGTGGGGGCAGAGGATGGCACTACCTTGAAATCTCTGCAAAACCATCATAAGCAAGAGAGATTGGACCTGCTCTTTAATGGCCCGAAGGAAAAAACCAGCACTGGACACTGCAGGAAATAGATGGCTGTTCAGTGGAAGGTTGAACTTTAACAGCAACTCATGTATAGAAGAGTCTGCTCCTGGTCATGGTGAGCTATCTGTAACTTGACGTACATAAGCAAGACCTAGTCAGTGCTACTGGCATTGAGTGGGGAGAGGCCAGGAGTGATATGAAGCATGCACAGGATTAGCCCCCACAACAGAAACCATCTAGCCCCAAATGGCAATAGTACCAAGGTCGAGAAACCTGGACACAGGCAATCCTTTGTCAGAGCAGGACTAATTACTAAAAACTCCTTTTGTCTCTGAGACTTTCATGACTTGGGGAATTCACACTCAGTTATTTAAATAATGTGTTGACCATATAAAATGAGTGGCCCTTTGCATATAGCCTTAAAAAATCTTTAAGGTGGGCAGGGAACTTTTAAATAAAGATGAAGATTTTAAAACAACACAAAAGGTTTCTATAGTAGTAGTCGATTGGATTTTTCCTTTCTTCCTATCAAGAGAGATTTTCCTGTCTCAGTTTTCTCTTTCATAGAAGTTATATACACTATGTAATTTCTTTTAAAAAGTAATATTGGATCCCTCCCTTATTATAATAATATTTACATATTCATCACAGAAAAATTAGAAACATATGAAAGCAAAGGCAATAATGTAACATCAGTGTTAACCTGATGTAGCCCTTTCTATGCATGATATATTAAACAATTGGATGCTATTATACATTCTATATGTTTTCCTACATCCTATTTTACAACCTGCTTTTCATGCTGCATGATTTATAAGGGATTTCTCTAACTCCAACTTTCTATGACATGCAAATCTGAAGCATTTCCATGTCAGCACGTGATGCTATTTCCTGGAGGACAAAACCTGAAACTTCAGATTTTTTTTATCTCCCATGCCAGCTTATAAATGTGAATATTTCTACAAGAGTTAACACAAAGACTGTTATTCTTCCCAGCCTTCGTGACCTTCATGACACTGCTGGCCAAGGGGCCTGGGAGCTCTGCAACTCCACGGGGTATAGACATCCACCAAAAGATCATGTGGATGTCTACCTCTTTCAGTATATTCTGAACCCATCCAGGCCTCTGTCTCTACCTCCGCCATTCCGTGCCACCATCTTCTATCACTTGGACACTTGACCACTTCCTAAGTGGTCTTCCATCCCTACAGTCCAGTTCACAGTTCTGAAGACGATCTTTGCAAAATGCAAATCTGATCATGTCACTGCCCACTGCCACCCCCAAATATAGTGTTCAATAGCTTCCCATTGAAATGATGACAAGCAGAAAACACTTTAACCTGGCCTTTGTATACACCCTTTATGGTTTGGCCCCTACCAACCCACCATACCTCCTTGTCTTGACTCTCACTCCATCTTTAGGGCCTGCTTGACCCTCTCTTCCCAAGGCCATCCTTCCATAATAACTTTGACTAGGCCAGGGTGCAGCATACCCCTACCACTTGTTCTGAGTCCTCAGCTCAGTCGTTCTTTCATACTCATTTATGTAATTACTTCATTTGTATGTGCAGCCCCACCCCTGGTAAACTCCATGGGGACACAGAGTGTTTTTGTGCCATTTTCTCCCAATGCCTAGCACATCATAACCCCCACAACAAATGTTAGTGGAATGAATGAGTACTTGTGTGAGCATTAACATAACTCTAAAGGATTAAATTGGAGAAATGGAATTTCCTGGTCAAAATGCATGCGTAGAGGACATTTATCATGATTTAGGCCACCAGCATCATAAATATCTTGCTCTGCTGAGGAAATTCCCCATGCTATTATTTTGGGTGAGAGGCAGAGCACACTTGCCCCAATAGAGGCACAAAATGCCAGATGGCTACTTTTCCTGTGGTTCCCTTGTGGCTAGAGAGCGGGTATGTGACCTTGACCCCAGCTAAGGAGACGCCCCTCTCCCAGATTTGTGAAGCAGGAACTGTGGTGACTCTGTCTCTGTAGTAAGAAGCAGTGGCAGCATGGCAGAACACACAGGCTCTGCACAAACAGTGGGTGAGTAGTAGCCACCAGTGTCTGGCAGTGTTAATAGCAGTGTCAGTGCCAGATTGTTTTTGTGGTGTGATTTCAGCTGTGGTTGTGGTAGCTGCCTGATTCCCTATGTCTCTACCTAGGTCTGAGACCGTAGCCTTCTCTGGGATTCACCAGGCTTTAAAAAAGAAATCCAGGACTTTTCTGCTTAACTAGAGTCAGTCAAGCAACTAGGGCTCCCAACTAATGTAGTGTGTGCATTGGACAATCTGGAAGCTGGTGCCAAACTGGCCTCCAAAAAGTTTGCACAAATTGACACTCCCATCAACAGGGCACCTAGTGTTTGGGTTTATCTTTCTTCTAGTACTACTTCTGTCGCTTTGCAACAACCTAGTTCTAAGAAAGGGGACATTCCTTATTCATTTCTCTGTGCTAAGCCTCTAACCCAGTGCCTGGCACATTTTAGATGTTTGCTTATATGTTTGCTAAATGAATGTACATAAAGAATTTTTCAAAAAGAATTTGAAGAAGAACAAACTAGAACCAGAGACTCAGAGTTGGGAGGATGCCTATGCAGTTCCTTATTCCAAGATGGGGAGCTGAGGCCCGCTCAGTCAGGGATTTGTAGACCGCCAAGTTGAAGCAGACTTCAGATCCAAGTCCACCAAGTCTACACTATGGCCATCTCCAAGTCCAGTTCTCTGTGGTGGCTGCTGCACAGGCTCTGGCTTGGGCAACCTTCCTGCCCTTGGGTCTCTCCACCCAGGGGGTAAGTTTCAGTTGAAATGATGAGCAAATGAACAAAGTAAAAGCCATGGAGCTGCCAGAAGATCAGCTTGTGAAAGGAGAAAGGCTGGTGACCACCCATTTGGAAAATTGCGTGTGTGTG